TGAAACCGGGAGAAAAGGGAATGGCATATATCAGCCGCTGTCTCGAACTGCGCGACAAGCTCCTTCGATGCGGAGGGTCGATATCTGAAGACGCCTTCGTGACAGTTATCATCGGCGGCCTCGGTCCTCAATGGCGCGCCACGAAAGCTATTCTCCGAGCACATGGAAGAATCTCCGAAGCAGCACTCTGCGCCGAAATCCACGCCGAGCAACAAGACATGGATCTGCAAGAAGAACGACACAAAAAGAAGACATCAGCACCGGAATTCGCGTTCCACACTCAGCGACGTTACAACAACAACAACAACCGGCAGCAGCAACCGAAGCCAGTACCTCCGTTCTGCCACATCTGCAAGACATCAGGGCACCCGCGCACGCACTGCCCGAATCGTCAACAGTCAACAACTCCACAGCGGCAACTTCGACCTTCAAGCAGCCAAATCGCCTCAACGCAAGCAAATCCCACGACCCAGGTTCAAGCTTCAACAACTTCAACGGGACAACCTGCACAAGGAGCAAGAAACATCGTCAGCTGCATGGCAAAGCTGAGTGACTCCTGCATCACCGGGTCACCACCACACTACTCACCGGAAGAACAACTCGACGAAACCACACCCCGCCGCGAGTCACTTCAGCCGAACCCGACATACGCCGCCATCGCCCAAAGAGAACCATCCGGAAAGGACACATGGTTCTTGGACAGTTGCTGCGGACAGCACATGTGCTCCTCGGGACGCTTCGTTCAACGAGAACACCAACTTCAACGCGAAGTCGTCATTACAGTCGCCAACAATCAGAACCTGCGAACACGACGACAAGGCGTAGTTCAACTTCAGTCAAGGGAAACAAACGTTATACTGCAGATGTCAAAGGTACTAATCGCGGAGGGACTCGGCTACAACTTACTGAGCGTCAGTCAGTTGATGGCGAAGGGCATTCACCTCGAGGCAGACAGCACCACCCAAGAATTCAAGCTGTATCACGGGAGAGGAGGACTTTACATCGGCAAGGCGGTCCTCAAGAACAACGTCTTCGTTCTTGACTTCGTTCCTGATCTTGGCACCGCCGACAGCGACGCCATCGTTAACTTCACCAACTGGACACACCCTCCAGACCTTGATCCAGACTTCAGTCCAGAAGGCTTCTGGTATTCACACACCATCCCTGAGGCAGAAAGAACAAGGGCGTTAGCAACAATTCAGACAACATCAGCAGCAGCAGAGACAACATCGGCAGCAGCAGAGACAACATCGGCAGCAGCAGAGACAACATCGGCAGCAGCAGAGACAACATCGGCAGTATCAGAACCATCAACGGCAGCAGCAGGAACGTCAACACCAATTGCTGGTCCTTCAACGGCATCGCTCCTCATCGACGACACACCACTGACACCCGCGCAACAACTACACCCAGCACCACGAGAAGTTCATCGTAGCGCCAACTTCACCGCCAACTTCTACTCCAACTCCGATCTGTACCGACGATCACCCGGACATCGCGCCGACGAAAGCACCTGGCACAAAGGATGGGACACCCAAGCAACACAGTATCAAATAATACGATAAGAGCAGGAGTACTTGACAAGGACTCACTACTACTGACCGACGGAAGAGAACTTCAACGAGTACGCGGAACGTGCTTCACCTGCCCTGAAGGTGACTTACCACATCGACCGTTCGCGTCTCACCATAACCCAAGCGCACCAGCTTACGCGCCACTCGAGAAGGTGTACAGCGACATCCTGTACAATCGCGAGCCGGGGCAGAACACGTACAACTACACCATCACGTTCATCGACGCCGCGACACGTTACGTTTGGCACCTGAATCTTCCAAGCAAGGATATGGCGTTCGAAGCGTTCGTCGCCTGGCTCCCCGTAGCAGAAAGGGAATCGGGCGTCAAACTAAAGAGCTTCCAGTCAGACGGGGGAGGAGAATACACCTCACAGAGGTTCAAGCAGTACTTGGCTGAAAGAGGAATCAAGCGGCTCATTTCCCTTCCCTACGCCCATCAACAGCAGGGTGTAGCAGAGAGGATGAACAGGACCCTCCAGAACACCATGCGGAAACTGTTACGTGGCATGCGGCTACCCACTCACCAGTGGCCAGAAGCAATGGACCACGCCGTGATGCTGCACAACTTGCTTTCTTCGTCGTCACTACCGAACAACACATCACCGCATCTGCTGTGAACAGGAAAACTGGGCAGCACAAAAATGTTACGAGTCTTCGGCTGCATGGTACAGTACCGACCTCCATCTGCACGAGCAGGACGATTCTCCCAACGGGCACAGTGGGGACTACACCTGGGCATCGAAAAACACTACAACGCATGGAAGATTTTCGACGTCGAGACAAAAGAAACAGTGGCAGCACGTGATGTCATTTTCTACAAGCGGCTCACCTTGCAAACGTACCTTGCCAACCTGGACGAAAACCAAGACCCCACAGGCGGCTTCCGTGGAGACCGAGCCTTCGCTTCGGCAGAAGACGAAGCTGACTGGGACGAGCAGAACGTGGAAGGAGCCTCGGAAGAAGCCGGACCCCTCCCGTACTGTTCTGTCGATGTCCCAATGGATGACGAAAATCCACGCGAAAGCAACAACGCCGAAGTCTTTTACCACTTCGCCGACAACGGTTACGTTACACCTGCACAAGTCAACACCGACGAAGCAGAACGCGTAGGACCTAACTTCGCACCTGATCCAGAAGCGGGAGACGAAGCAGTTTATCCAGAGGATACTTCACTCCCTCGCTACACACAGAGTGGGCTCCAAATCCTCGGTCTCGTCACCGCAGTCCACGGCGAAGCCATTCCTAAAGAGCCTGCGACAATTCAACAGGCTCTGGGGGGGGAGCATAAGGAAAAATGGCGCGAAGCCATGGACAAGGAACTGAAGGCACTGGAGGAACGCAACACGTGGAAAGTAGTTCCCATCGGCGTAGCACGGAACAAGACCATTCTCACCGGGAAATGGGTTTTCCGCGTGAAGACGAAGGCTGACGGCACAATTGACAAATTCAAGGCACGATGGGTCGTGCGTGGCTTCGACCAAGAACACGGACGAGACTTCACCGAAACCTTCGCTCCGGTCAGCCGACACACTTCGCTCCGAATCCTTCTCGCGATCGCCGCCATGAAGAAAGAGAAACTACGGCAAATCGATGTCGCGAACGCCTTTCTCTACGCACCCGTTGACGCAGAAATTTTCGTGGAACTACCGCACGGTACCAACGGGGAGCCGAACCTGGTCTGTCAACTGCTGAAGTCACTCTACGGGATCAAGCAAGCTCCGCGGTTATGGCAGCAGTACCTGCACGCCCGCCTCATCCGCATCGGCTTCAAGCAATTACCTCACGATCAGGGAATGTACCGGCTCACGAAAGGCGCAGACTACATCCTGCTGATCGTCTACGTGGACGATCTTCTCTACATCGGCTCAACTGACGACATCACTACCTGGTTCGAAGGGGAGCTGCAGCAAGATCTCACGCTCACGGTTTCATCTGCCGTCACTCAGAACCTCGGCCTCAACATCCGGGAAGAGAAAGACGCGATCTACCTCAGCGCCGAGAAATACGCCGATACTATCGCCAAACGCTTTGCACTCACACCGACAGCCATCTCCACGCCATACCGCTACACGGCAGGGAACGGCAAAGGAAGCTCCGCTCTACTCAAGCCCGCCGGCATACGAGACTACCAGAAGAAGCTGGGATGTCTTCTCTTCGCAGCTGTCACTTGCCGCCCCGACCTCTCATACTCCGCAAGCCAGCTCGCCACCCACCTCAAAAGGCCTGAAGCAGAACACCTGGCGGAGCTCGACCGCGCTCTTCACTACTTCGTCAGCACCTCAACGATCAGCCTAACTTATTACAAGAACGCAACTACGCCGCCTAAGTTAATCGGCTACGTCGACGCCGATCACGCTGGCGATTCCGACAACAGGCGTTCTCGCACTGGCTACATCTACCGCCTCGAACCCATCGGACCTATCTCTTGGCAGTCGAGCAAGCAGGAATTAATAGCTCTCTCGTCAGCCGAAGCAGAATATATTGCACTTTGTTCAGCCACCAAGGAAGGACTTTACCTTCGCGAACTGCTGGAAGAAGCGAAGCTGGCTCAGTTACCCAGCTTCACGCTGTTCTGCGACAACCAGTCGGCAATTCGCATCGCCAACAAAAGCGGCTTCGCGAACAGGACGAAACACATCGCCCTGCGATATTTCTTCGTGAAGGACGAGATCGAGAAAGGGAGGCTCGAGCTGTCATACTGCCCCACGTCCGAGATGGCAGCTGACTACCTGACCAAGAAGCTTGGAAAGCAGAAGTTTGAGTACTGCATGCTGCTGACAACACTAAGGCACAAATGAAGCAGAGCATATCGAAGCACCGGCGAGTCAACCCTCGGAGGTTGAAGCAACCGCTGGAGGTTACGGGGAAGTCAAAGGTCAGCGACCTTTGACCTGACGAATACAGCGCGACAGCAAGGACACACAACTGACTCGCTACAGAGCAGTTGCCCGAGTCGTCACTGTATCGAACCGCAACAGCAACAGTAAAGTAGTTACAACCGTACCTCTTCGTATTCCTTGTACTCTTATATATATTCTTGTATCTCTTTGTTTCAATCAACTTACTTTGCCCTCACATACTAGCGCAAGATGGTTCACAACACTTTAATTAACGCTTCCGCTATTACACCAACTCTACCCAGAGTTCACCCCTGCAAAGATCCTAAGGGCTTTCTCAGCCCAACAACAAGCAGCAGAAAGTTTGCCAGGTGGAAGCAACACATATAGAGAATGCGTTGCTGTCACACTGTCATGCATCGTTAGCCATGTGAGTTATCAAGTCAAAAGAAAAGCCTCGGGGAAGCCGTTGAGGCACTGCTAACAATGATAGCCTAACGAGTCGTTTAGTTTTTATGCCAGGGATGCAGCACATAGTTGCCCCCACATGTTGCCGCAAGGATAGGCTGCGGAAGGCACCAGATTCCGCTCAAACAGAGGGCGGTACTAGCACGGAGTCGGTGCCATGAATGTACATATCTTCGCCCTCGTACATGTCCGGAACTATCACTCTAACGGGTATGTCGCCCTTCCCCTTGAACGCGAGCTTGGACGAATTGACTTTGGAGACTTTGGTGACGAACGAGCCTTCCATGGTGGGCAGGCGCGTGTTGATGGGTAAAGCCTTCAGCTGCCACGCCTTGTACGCGCCCCTGATCGCGTGGTACGTGAACATCCGCGCCACCTGCGCATGAGCGACGGGATTGGAAAAAGAACACGAAAGAGGAGGTGTTCTTCCAAAAGACATCTCCGTGCTGGTCAATTTCGGAGCTCGGGTGTTACTCATTCGCTACCTGGTTAAGTCACAAACATTTTGTCTCTAGAGCATGCTGCATCAATTGTTGACTGCTACCAAGTTTGTGGTCGGTGGAACAAGAGGCGCGAACCAGCGCCGCTCCAACGTATCCGTGCGGATGTAGCTGCTGTCTGTACAGTTTCGTTCAGCGTTGTTTTTATAATTGTGAACCGTCATTAATGTTGAGGAATGTTCAGGGGGTATACTCATGAGCGCATGGACGCGCATGGTAATTCGAAAAGGGTGCGCAGATAATTCTCAAAAGCTTTGACTGTTGACGAAAGCTTAACGACATACCTGATCGCTTCTGAACGTGGCGATGGACATGGCGAAAGCCGCCGCGTTGACGGGGAAGAGCAGCGTCGCGTTCCTTAACACGGCAACTCTGCCAGTGTCTGCAGCCACAGCACAGAGGAGGACCATAGTCGCGAGGTGGGGAATATGAAGCAGGTGCACGGGATGGATCAACCCGAATGCTGACATTGGACGCGGTGTGTGGCACGCGGCGGCAGCAAATTGAATAACTACAGTGTTGGGTCCGCGCTGTCGCTAGACTCTACCGTACCATTATTCGAATTATCGTCTGGCGGCGCGTCTGGGGGCGTATCGTCGCTGTTCGTCTTCGGCTTGGCACCGCCGGTCGAGTTGCTCTTCTTCCCTCCAGGAGGCCGCACATCCCCGCCGCTTCCTCCGCCTCCACCTCGAGTTTTCGACCCTCCGCTGCCTCCATTCCCTCCCGCTCCTCCCCTACCCGCCCCTGGCGCAGAAACCGGCGGTGGGCCTTTTCTCACCCCTGTGCCGCCCCCAGAGCCCCCTCCACCGCCCACACTACCCCCTGGTTTCCGCGGAGAGCCTGCACCGCTAGTGGGCTTTGTCGGGGATTTTGCTACAGATTTGGGCTTTGTCGGAGACGTAACGTTAGTCGGTCTTCCGGAACGAGTGGACGCTTTCGGTGGACTGCCTACTAAATCTTCTCGCGGTTTCATCTCAGCACAAGCACAAATGATGAGCAGAGATAGTGCTACAAACAGAAGGAAAGGTTGCCGAGACATGACTGTTATGAGCGCTTAAAACACGTGGCGCGTAAGTTTCTCTACTTGTTGTATAGTTCAGGGAATGAAGACTCTGGACTAGAAACCTTTTTCTGTCAGATAAACTTCAACTTTGGAAAGGAATCATCGCTTCTGGTGCAACTACTAGGAAATGGTCACTCGATTTGTTGGAGGCATTGAGTTGGCGGCACCGACGGTGCAATTGTTTGTGGTGCAAGCAGTCACCAACATTTCAGAAAGCGAGTGCGCGTCTGTATGCGAGATTCGTATGACAGAGATACTACGGTCGTCGGCCACTCTCAACGTTCGTACTCGTCAACGGAACTTCGCATCATGAGTGACGACAACAAAATCGAGCCATGTAATTTCGCGTGCGGTCCGTATATTTGTGAAGGCGCCCTGGCAAAGAGTGAGATGAACGTTTGAGATGGCATTTTGGTTGCCGCAGAGTACGGACCATCAAACTGAGCGATGCGAAATCCGTCACAAATGAATGACCACCATACACAGCTAATGGATATATGCGTTAGACAGTATAATCCATCAATTAAAAAAACAGGTGCTACCTTTACATTACAGTCTAACCTTTCATTCCAGAGACACGACTGAAAAATCTGAGAGTTTTGGTACGTAGGCTAATGTAAGATGAACAGTTCTGCGTGCTAGAGAGTGACAAGCCAAACATGTCAGGGAAACAGCACGGATGTGCTTTTAACGAGCCTTCTGCTAGTAACTGCAATTACAGAGGGGAACATGTCAGTAGGGATAAACCACATTCACAATATAATGCAGCAGCTGAAAGGTACTTGGCATGCTTGCGAACGACCCATATATAAATATTTGCATGCACAACCATATACCTGTATCCATACCCGGCTTCATTGATCAGGCTCTGATAGCGACGACCTCCGCGCTGGGAATGGTTGATGCGGGGTGGGCTGAATTGACAAAGCAGCGAGAGAGGCAGTGGCGGGTGACGATCCAGATAAGAAGCTGATGAACATACTGAACATTCTGGTTTGCAGGCATGTATAAAAAAGGGGGAATAGCAGCTGGGAAGACAAACAATTCTAAGGAAAGACAATGCTTTAGGAGACGTTGGCCAGGTCAAGAGCCATATATTGATTCAGAGCTTTAAGTGGCAACTCACCTCTAGCTTTGGCTGTAGACCCCCCTCATTGGCTGCTGGAGGCTTAACTTCGCCACCCTTTTGCTGCAAGAAGACAATTGGCCACATGTGGAACAATTCTTCATCAGTGCAAGGACCAAGAGGAACAAAAACAAAGAAATTGTGGAGACAATGAGCCAAACCAATGGCATTTCTGGGAGGTGAAGCAGTCTTTGAGATGTCTTTGCTGCTCCAGGGAGGTTCAGATATAGAGGGATAAGGTTGCTGACCTTTTGAATTGCCCACTCGGCTGAGTCAAAAAAAGCTCTCTCATGACCCTGCAGGCAACGAACACCCATCATCGTATATCACAGGATAACCAGTGTAAGAAAGAGGAAATAATGTGTGAGACTAAAGGACAGTGAGCACCGGAGATAAGGCTAAGGGTTAACACTTGTGATTGCATTACCTTCGAAAGAAGCCCCTTTTTCTTTGGAAGCGCTCCGCCATATTTCTTCTTCAAGCGCGCCTCCTATACACGTGAGGAAGTGTGGAAGGAGGACCATTGTAGAGCAAGCACGCGCGGGAAATTGGGTGGGGGGGCGAAAGAAGGTTAAGAAACGTGGGAAAAGGGAAGAATCATCACCCAAGCAAGCATTTGAGGATAACATAATCCATTGTAAGAGTTGTTTTGAGAGCGCAATTAGTGGAGTTACAATCGGCAGTAGTTCAAATTAGGAACGAATTAAGTACCTGCTCTGCCATAGAAAATTCTTGGTCCGCCATGGACTCCGAAATCAAAAGGCTCCAAGAGTGTAGTGAAAATCCAAAATTGTAGGGCGTATATGTGTTCAGCGCAGAAAGAAAACAATAACAGAAGTGCAAACCGTCGAACAACGCAAAATACCCTTCGGTCTAATCTCCGAACAGAATGTGACACCGCGCGACGTCCTTAGCACAGGCTCGTAAATTCTTCAGCTCCAATCGACACAGCTGGTGCTAGCCTAGGTTTTTCGAGAAACGTCAGACACAACTATGGATGTTGGAACACAGCTGGTGCTGGTGTGGGGCGACAGCTGGGAAAGATTACGATGGTGGGAGGAGTTGGTGGGGGTGTGAAGGGAAGGGGAAAGCGAGGTGCACCTGACGGTGTTTTGATCGCTTCCGTCGGTGAACACGGTTGCTGATTGGTCAATTACGGCAGCCTGCCCGTTGGCGAATCGGAAAGGGTATGTTCGCGACTGAAGGTAGGCTATGATTGGCAGCGAAACGAATGCTGAGCTCGTCAGCTGGTGACGGGCTGACAGTTCCACTGTGAGTGTAAGGAATTTTCCGGATTCCTTACTGGGTCACACTGTACGCGTACAACCCCGGTTTTCGGAAAACCAGGCTCGGTCCGTCGACCTCGCCTTCCGAGCCACCACCGCGTCGCGTTCGGGTTTCCCAACCCCGAACCTGCACCCAACCATTTCGCGACCCCGCGACCTCGGCCTAGCTAGCTTCGCTATATTAGTCCTAGGCCTCGTTGTGTTCTCAGACGTTGTAATCACTTCCGCATTATTGAGTTCTGCGCACTCTTTCCTTTCACAACTCATAACACTTGGTATCAGAGCTACTTTCCTAGGTTACCCTCGCGTTTCCGGGGTAGTTTGTAGAAGGGGAGCGATAGACTTGGTGGGCTGTTAAGCGGTCGGCCCGTGGAATAGATCTGATTATTCCACTCCGACTACGATAGCATTAACGCCTTCACCGAAGTCAGAAAAATCGCGAGCCACCCCCTGCCCGTTAGACGAAGCCTGCGACACATGGAACAGGCGGAGTTCAACGAGTTCATGCAACAGTTCCGGACGATGCAGGCCACCATGCAGACTATGTCTGCAGAAATGGAGCGTCTCCAGAAGGAAAACGCCGAACTACACCAGGCGCGTGGTGAAGCGCGCCAGGAGTCGCCTGTCGTGGACGATGCAAGTAGCAGTACTGCACCAGATGAGCGGGTCTGGAGCGAGCTGGAAGGCGAGATGGATGCGGACGAGGCGAGGCAGGCGCAGCAGCAACAGTCACCGCAACAGTCGCGTGCAGCACCTACACGTGCAGCAGCGACGACGACGGCGACGCCAGCAGCGATGTCAACGGCCCCGATGGCAGCAACGGCTTTTGTTAAAATCAAGCCGACAAACCCGCCCCCGTTTAACCCAAGTGACAAGTTTGTCACTGTTTCTGCATGGTTATTCGGCGTGGAGGTGTTTTTTGATGCTGCCATGATTTATGACGATACCACCCGCATTAATTTCGCAGTTTCACTGTTGCGAGGACCTGCGCTGGAGTGGTGGAGGCGAACGCTGCAGCACGAAGGGACTTCGGCAGGAATAGCACGTGCGAACGACGAGACTTCGACACCTGTCACGCATCAGGCAGCATCGATTTTTGGGACGGCCACGATACGCACATGGAAGGAGTGGGGCGCCGCCTTGCGAACCAGATTCGAGCACATATCCGCCTCGGACTCTGCTCGCATGCAGCTGCGTACCTGGAAGCTGGCGGACCAGGTACCTGACTTCAGTCCAAGACTACACCAGCAAATTCTGCAACTTGGCGGACCAGGTGGACGACATGAGCGATGCGGAGCGGTTGGATCGCTACGTGGCGGGCCTGAAATACGAGATACAGTACGAGGTCCGACGAACCCGGCCACGCAGCTTCAATGACGCCGTCCGGGAAGCCGAGTCAACGGATGCGCTGATGCAGTGGGCGAGATCGAGCTCCCGGGAGGGCCCTCGATTTCGTGGACCGACTCAGCAGCCCACGATCAACGGCGTGGATGCACCTAGCCGAGCCCTTGGGCCGTGCTTTTTATGCAACCAGCTGGGCCACCTGAAAAAAGACTGCCCGAGGCTTAAGCAGGGGAAGAAGAACGACGGAGAAGGGTCGGGAAAAGATACGAGTCAGTAGTAGAAGGGCCACCTACTGACGAGACCCTGTCGCCCGACAATCACCATCCACACCGGGTCGTGGTACCGATCAGAGCTATCGACCAGAACCGGACGAATAACGTGGGTGAACACGTGGACTACCCTGTGCTGGTGGTAGGGAAGGTTAACGGTTATAAAATAAAAATCTTCGTTGACGGTGGGGCGAGCCACAGTCTCGTCAACCTGGCAACGGCCAAAAAAATTGGGGTGAAGCTGACCAGGTGTCTACCGGAGATTGATGCAAGGTTGGTAGACGGGACACCGCTGGCCATCCGAGATGAGGCGCGAAAAATTCGGATACAGTGCGGCGATAAATTCGGGTTTGGCATGAGGATGTTGGCGACGACGTTGGACGGCTGCGATGTGCTGCTGGGGAGGGATTGGCTGCAGCACTTCAATCCGACGATCGACTGGACGACTGGGGCGTGCGTCGTGCGAGGATACGGAGGGACGACGACGCTTCCGAAATGGACGGAGCCGGAGCCGGTGACGACACGTGTCAACGCGGTCAACATGCAGCGTGCGATGAAATCGCGGACATCGACACCCTCTGCGCGGCAGTCCCCAAGGAACTGGCGAGCATCATTCGGAAGTATCCCGAAATTTTCGCGGATGACCTCCCGGGTGGTTTGCCCCCCCAACGACCTGAAGATCATCGGATCCAGCTGGAGCCAGGAGCGCAACCTACTGTTCGGTCACAGTGGCGGCTCAGCCAACCAGAGCTCGCCGAGTTGCGGGCCCAGCTGGATTACCTGCTCGCCAAAGGATTCATCCGGGCAAGCACGTCGCCGTATGCAGCGCCGATACTGTTCACACCGAAGAAGGACGGGGGCCTTGTGAATTAAGAAAACAGGAATTAGAATGACTAAGGGAAAGTTGGGTACAAATGCAAACCCTAGAAAACTGTACCCCATATGTGCTACCCCACTATAGCCTACAGTAGCTCTGTCATATAAATCTGACACACCCCCATAGGCAAAGTGGGGGAGAACAAGGGGTCACAAGACCAGTCAAGCAAAGCAAAGCAAGCTCAGGGTGGATCACAAAGTCACCACACATTCCGAGCACAAGTTCAAGACCACAAGGCCAGTTCACATGCAGGATTACATATATATATAAGGCTAGACAAGCAAGAGCACGTGTATATATATATGCAACAGTACAAACAAGGTCAAGGGGTGAGCAAGTGAGGCAAGGTAGGCACAAGGCCCAGCTGAGTACAGAAACGCTGATGATCACAAGGCGCAAGTGCCTTGGTGAAGATATCAGCAGTGTTGGCCTGAGAGGCCACGTACGCAAGCCGCAGCTGACCACGCTGCTGTAGCTCACGAGCAAGGAAGTAGCGGAGAGCAATGTGCTTCGTTCTGTGCTCCAGTCTCTGCTCTCGACACAAGGCCAGCATGGCCTTGTTGTCTACGTACAGCACTGGAGGAGAACGAGGCGGCTCTCCGAGGTCAGTCAGCAGGTAGGTGAGCCAGCGAAGCTCCTGTGCAGCCATGGCCCCGGCGTAGATCTCAGCCTCACAACTGGAGCCGAGAACAGAAGACGAGCGGGTAGCCCGCCACGAAACAGAGCCGGAACCAAGGCTGAAGGTGTAACCCTGTGACGACCGCTGCGTAGCCTGGTCGTCAGCCCAAGAAGCGTCTGCGTGCCCAGTGAGGACCACTGGACTCTGCCCTCCAAGCACAAGCCCCATGCCCGACGTACTGCACAAGTAACGCAACACCCTCTTCGCTGCAGCCATGTGCTCCGGTCTGTGTCTCCCAGGAGCAACATAGCGTGCGAGAATGCTAAGAGGGTATGCGAGGTCAGGTCGTGTGCAGGTCATCAGGTACATGAGGCAGCCAACAAGCTCTGGGTACGGGCCACTCGACTCTACGGACTCATCCGAAGGCAGAGCTGAGAGCGAGTGGCGAGTAGGCAGAGGAGTGGCCTGAGGCGAGGAGTACGTGAAGCCGAAGCGCTGAAGGACCTGCTGCACCATGTGTGACTGAGTCAGGGTAATGGTGCGGCGTGCTCTGTCCCGGGTGATCTGCAAGCCAAGGTAGCTGCGCAGTTCACCCAGGTCTGTGCACGTGTGTCTCTTCTGCAGCTCGGACTTCACGTGGGCGAGTCCAGCAGTGTCAGCTGTGGCAAAGACCAAGTCGTCGACGTACACGAGGATGTAGAAAGGCGGCAAAGAAGTGTCGGTGCGCAGAAACAGCGACGGGTCGGCAGTAGAGGGAGCAAACCCAAGAGCCGCAAGTGTAGTCCTCAGTGTGTCGTGCCACTCACGCGGTGCCTGGCGGAGACCGTAGACTGGCCGCCGGAGGCTCCACTGGGTGCCAGGAGGAAAAGACCCAGTGAAGCCAGGTGGGCGACGCAGCCAGATCTCCTCGTGCAGGCTACCCTGCAAGAAAACAGTGCTGAAGTCAAGAGAGTGCAGCTCGTAGTCGCGGTGAGCAGCTACGTGCAGCAGTACCCGAAGAGTGGTCATCTTCGGGGTGGGAGAGAAGGTCTGAAAGTAGTCAACTCCCTGCCGCTGACTAAAGCCACGAGCCACGTAACGCGCCTTGAAGACAGGCGGAGAACCCGGCGGCCGCTTCACCCTGAAAATCCACATGCCACTGACGATGTTCGCCCCAGGCGGGGGAACCTCGTCGACGTAGGTGCCTGTGGACTTCCAGGAAGCCATCTCTGCGTCCATAGCTGCCTGCCACTGAGAGGAGTAGGGACCCTCTATCGCCTCCGCGTAAGAGCGCGGAGTCGGGATGTCAAGTGCATCCGGGTCTCCCTCAGGGGTAAGCAGTACGGACACGAGATGAGGTGAAGCAGCAG